CTATGTCTATTTTTTTAGTGCTGGTGCTAGAGGGTTTGAGGGGTATATGTGTTTCAGTTAACTTTGCAAAAAAATCTCATTTTAATTTTCAGAAATGACAGAAAAGCAGGATGAGGGAGGGAGGGAGGGAGGGGGGAGGGAAGGAAGGAAGGAAGGAAGGAAGGAAGGAAGGAAGGAAGGAAGGAAGGAAGGAAGGAAGCCAAAGAACAGCTCAACCCAGATACCACCAGCCATAGTGAAGGCTGAGGGCAATAAGGAACAGTACTGAATAGTTAAATTGTTTCTCCTTTTTCTAGGAAAGAGAAAGAGTTGTGACAAGTCAAGAAGAAAAAGAACAAAAGAAACATCCTTACAAAAGAACATTAATCTGTAGTGTGAAAAAGTTATAATATTTTGTTCCTATATTCTTTCTACTAAGACTGAACATTATTTGGAATTAATCATGATTGGTGCACCATTGGCATGGGGATTGCAACACTAATTTAATTTTACAGTTTACTCCAAGATGTGATCGGAAACTGGGACTTCCTTTGTTACAGCTAGCATCAAAAGCAACTTAATTATGTCCAACATTCACTATCAAAGCATTTTTGAAAACTGTATGACAATACATTAGCAGTACATGATGTGATACTCTTAAATTAATTACAAGGAAGAGATGAACAAGAACATATATGAACATGTGAGGATAGATAGGTAGCTAGCTATGATGTTATTATAAATTTTCCAATTAAAATAGATAGTGACTTGATATTCATAAAATTAAAAAAATGTCCACTCTGCCCCTTGGACTTTCAGCAACTTATGAAGCATTTCAATGCAAAAAGAATGTGATATACTCCAAATAACTGAGTTGTGAATAAATAAGCTTATGACACTGTGCAAATATCACAAAGAAAAACAAAGCCATTTCAGAGTGAGGACAATTCTTTGTGTATCATGTAATTCTCACCAAAATCAGAGATATATATCAGAGCACATAAGTGAAAGAAGAGAAGTATAGCTGTTATTATGGCTAATATCATTGTCAAGTTTTCTTTCTATCCAGGTAACATGATATTTCTTTTGATATAGTTTTACTTTGTGCACTCACCAAATGTTACAATGCTTCTGGATAGTCTATTATTAAGGAAAACAGGACTGCTCAAAAGTCAACCACATGTCTTATTTTAATTAACTTCCTTTCATCTTCTTAGAATTGTGACTTCTGTTGCACTGACTCTTTAGCACCTTACAATGTCCAGACTACAAAGGAAGGGTGGTCTAGATAGAGAGATAGAAAGTTCTTCTGTTCTTCAATGTGTCTATTCCTTGCCTGCGAAATTGCTAGTCTCAGGCATCTTCTTTCCCATTTTATCTTCCCAAGCACACTTCTTTGTCTCTTTGCCTAATCAGATGCAGTAGGATCCACAAGCCTTTATGAGCAAAGACTAATAATATACCAGTTTCCTGTAACATTAATCAAAAGTGTTACCATGGGAAATACAGTCCAATCTGATATTAGTCCTGAAAATGTCATTGTCAGATTTTATTTAAGGCTCTAAGCTCTCATGTACTGTATTCATTTTCATGGCTTGAAGGATAGTGGATTGTCCAACTGGACTATTACAAGAACTTTTCCTAACAATCAGTTCCATTTATTTACAATACATAATTGTGGATTCACATTTTATTATACCAGCATCAAAGACAGGGTTTCTATTGAGTAACAAAAAATCAGATGATTGCACAATGGAAGCAAAAAGATATAGAAAAGCCATTGCCATTTAGGGATTATATGATATCTGCAGCCCATGCATGAAAGCCCTACTAAAAAATGATCCCAAGCTGGCACCACAAGTTGTTGAGATTACTTCAGGAGAAGAAAATGTTAATTGATTAAGCCAATTCAGTTTGCATTATTAACACTATTATATTATATATATCTGTATGTCAACGTATTACAGTACTGCAAGATAGCACTGCAATCAGAGGTTCATTAAAACTAAAGATACATTTGTTTAAGGATTGTTGCGATCTCTGCAAGTTTGATGTGCCACAATGGGCACACAACTTATTAATTATAAGATGAGGCTGTCGGCAGGCCCAGAGGAAGAGAGAAGCTTTTGGAGGAGTTGCTGGCGGCGGCAGTGTGCTCCAGGGGCGAAAAGAAGCAAGGCCTCTTTAAGGAAAAGGTGGAAGAGTCAGGATCAGAAAAAGAAAAGGAGGTGAAGTTGTCGTGCAGGAATACAAGCTAATTTGAGGGCTAATCCACATAGAGCTCCATTTCCATCTGTCCTGTTTGCCATCGTTCGCTCCCTAGAGATTAAAATGGATGATCTGAAACTTGAGCTGGCCACGAACAAGGGCCTGTGTCACATGGAGCCAAAAGTTAACATAATATGGCATGAGTACACCAGGCTATAAAGCAATCTCTTTCTATACAGTCTGTATCTGGAATCATATAATTTTTCTGGTCTAGTTGGGCTTAGATAAGCATATATCCCCTTGAGCAGTGATGAGCAATGCCACCTGTAGGTCTGCATGAGCTTTTCACCAAACATGAAATGGCTCTCCTCAAAAAGTCAGATCTCTACAGTCACTTTAAACCTCTGATAATAGTCACACTTGTGAGATGAGCAGATATACAATTTTTTAAAAAAATAAGATAAAAATAAACTTTGGAAAATATTTCCTACTTTCTTTTATTCTGATTAGTAATGTAAACTAATGGATTCTTTTTCATGCATGTTAATGAAAGAAGATATAATTTGGAACTATCTATATTGGAAAAGCGAAATTGTTTGATTTGTGCAAATCTATTTTTAATTTTGGTTTCTAAGCAGTGAGCAATGTCCAATGTAGTTATAGAGAGACCTCTGCTGGTTTATTTTTTTATCACACTTTTAACACACTTTAGTTGAAGTATGGCCAATTTTATAGGTGTGTTGTTAAAATTCAAATTCCAACAATCCTGTTCAGGAGAGAAAATAGGAAGGGCATAAGAAGACAATTGCAGGCAATAGTGAGGAAGAGACAGGACCTTTAATACGTGTGCCAATATTATTTATTGTATTTAAATCTAACATTTCTTATACGTGGTCAAAGTAACATACATGATAGTCTCTCTGATATTATTACCATAATAACTCTATGAGATAGATAGGGATGGGAGAGAATAACTGGTCCAAACTCATCCAATGACCTTTGAACTAAAGCTTACTAATCAAAGTCTACTATTCTAACAATTATATTATATTATTAAGAAGAGAAATAGAGGATGGTAAGAAACCTAAAAATCCAGTGTGCATATTTGGAAGTTCTTTATTCATTTCACAGGGGAACAAAAGTGAATTATCACAGGTTTGGTTTGAAAATTGACTACAGGTTGTCCTCGACTTACAACTACAATGGAGCCCATAATTTCTGTTGTTAAGTGAGACATTTGTTAAGTGAGTTTTGCCCCTTTTTACAATCTTTCTTGCCACAGTTGTTAAGTGACTCACTGCAGTTGTTAAATTATTAACATGGTTGTTAAGTGAATCTGGCTTCCCTATTGAATTTTGCTTCTCAGGTGACAAAAGGACACTTACATGACCCAGGACACTGCAAGTCATAAATGAATTAGTTGCCAAGCGTCTGAATTTTGATCATATGACCATGGGGACGTTGCAAGTGTCATAAGTGTGAAAAATGGCCATAAGTCATTTTTTCCCATGCTATTGTAACTTTGAATGGTCACTTATTGAACTGTTGTAAACCGAGGACTACCTGTACGTAAGAATATAACTAGTACCCTGCTGGATCAGACTTCTGACCCATCTAGTCCAGCAATTTGTTCACACAGTGGTCAACCAACTTCACAGCTGCCCACTGGTCTCCCAGCATATGGCTTTCAGAGGCAGTCACACTGACCTCAAGGCTAAAAGTCATTGGTGTCCAACACTTTTTTGAAACCAACCAAACTGGTAGCCAGCACTACATTTAGAAGAATAGAACAGAATAGGAATAGGAATAGAATAGAATGGAATAGGACAGTGATGGTGAACCTTTTGGAGACTGAGTGCCCAAACTGCAACCCAAAATCCACTTATGCATTGTCGAGTGCCGGGTGGTTGTGGTCCATTGGCTGGGCGTGGCTGCAGTGGTAACAGCAGACTGGGTGGGACTAAAAAGTTTAATCAATCAATTCCAACTTTGCAAGATCTTTTTTTTTTCCTGCAAGAAGTTGAAATTGACTGATTGAACCTTTTTTTTTTTTTTGCACATGGTGGCGGAGGCCCAAAGTGAAAAGGTTTTATAAAACCCAGCTGAAGGCCTAGGACTGGGGCGACAGTGTGCGTGCCCACAGAGAGGGCTCTGAGTGCCGCCTCTGGCACCCGTGCCATAGGTTCGCCACCACTGGAATAGGAATAGAATAGAATAGGAATAGAATAGAATATAGAATAGAAGTCACTTTTAATGTACACTAATCAGCAAACATTAAAATAAGATACAGTTCTCAAAGGGTAACCACGGCAGTGAATTGTAAAATACAATTGCACGTTGTGTAAATCCTTTTGTCTTGCCCTGATTCTTCCAGGACTCAATTTCATTGGGTGATCTCTGGTTCTAATACTTTAGGAAAGAGAAAACAGCTTCTCCTACTTCCATTTATGCCATTGGTTGTCCTGGTTCTTAACCTTCCTTTTGTAGCAGGCAGCTACAAAAAGCGCCAATGGACATATTTGCCTCTCAAGAAACTGTCCTTAAAATATTATTGCAGTTAGGTTTCTGCGCGGTTAAAAGCAAGACAAACGAATGAGAGCGTAAGCTGTCACGGACCACAGACGTTGCATCTGAAATCCGTGAAAGCTTATTTTATAATTCATCTCCTCGTCTCGTAGATGTCGAAAAAAGGACTCATTCTGCCGCAAGGAAGCAACGCGATGTGGACGATACGCTGCTCAATTCCCTCTTTGTCGCCTCCGCCCTCTGGGAGACCGACGATCGCCTAACTCCGCCCCCTTTTTTTCCTCTCCCGGGCAGAGAAATGACCCTCCTCGCGCCCTGTATCACGCTTACTTCCGCTCCCGCCCCTCTAGGAAGCCGTCCGATTTCCGGGGTTGGACGGTGAGGAAGGCAGGATGGTGAGCAAAAGGGGGGCTTGGGGGGGGGCCGCGGGTGGACTTCTTGAGGCCCGTTTGGAGCCCTTGCCAGTGTCCGCTGGGTGAGACCGATTCCATTAAGCCAGAGTAGTCTTTTCTCCCGACGTGGGTCCTTTCGGCGCTATTATGCGATGTCATGATTGCATCGTTTCCATAGCTGAGAAATGGGACCGGGGGTGGTGGTGGTGGCGGATAGGCCAAAATAGCCTTGGATGTGAAATGGTGGTGACGGGAAGAGCGCTTGATTTTCTTACCGAAGACGGTAAGAAAATCAGAGGCTCTTTCTATCACGATTTTAACTACTATCTTTCTTTTAACTCAGTGTTTCTCAACCTTGACCATTTTAAGGCATGTGGACTTCAACTCCCAGAATTCCACAGCCAGCATTGCTGGCTGTGGAATTCTGGGAGTTGAAGTCCACATGCCTTAAAATGGTCAAGGTTGAGAAACACTGCTTTAATTAATTGCTGTGGGGTTGTCTAATGTACAGGTGTCATATATAGCCCTCCGTGTAAATATACTTTTTCACATATGCACATGTAGAAATACACAATATGTATTATATTTACAGCAGTGTTTCTCAACCTTGGCAACTTTATGATGTGTGGAGAAATTATGTTTTTATGTTTGTAAAATAATCAACTCCTGAAATCAATTTAAAAAATCTGGCTTCTTCCAACTCTATGTTTTAATGTTCTGGATCCTGCGATATAGTACCCTAAAGATGAAAATATCTAAGTTTTTGTTCTATTTCAAAACAAACCACTTAGTAACCTAATTCGGTTCCAGTTACTCTTTAGCCCTTCAATATTTCAAGCTCAGAGCTTTGAAAACTAAATTGCTCAAGTATGAAGTGGGAGCTTTTTGCATGCTGAAAAAACTATCCTATATCTTAGCTATAGCTACTCAAGTAAGTGACACAAACCATGCTTACCCAGTGGAAGTTTGCTGGCAGCATCTGGTCCCTTTGTTTTTTTCTTCTTTTTCCCCACTCGGGTTGGAACTGGAGAATTCTGGGAGTTGAAGTTCACATATCGTAAAGTTGCCAAGGTTGAGAAACACTGATTTACAGGCATACTTATGTGAGCTGGGAATGTTTATAGTTTCTTTTTCCAGAGTTGCACGAGATTGGCTAACAACATCAAAACAGAAAATTCTTGCTTATTGCTCCTTGGGCCGGCTTCAAGCTATATATAGCAGTTAAATGACTCCTAAGGGTATTCCATTAATTATGCTCGATGTTATTTAGCGACCTTAACAGCACAGGTATTCTTGTCTGAGATTTTTCAACCAAAATAAATACAGTACTTGTAGAAATACTTGTTTAAGTAAATTCCCATGCTGCCTTGTGATTTCTCCAAAAATGAACTGGTAAATTGGTTGCTGCAGATAATTTAGTATGCTTAAAGTAGAACCCCTCTCTCCCTGTTTTAGTTACCATTTGCTTAACATTTTATATACAGCTCAGAACATGATTGTTTTTCTGAATTGTTCCTGAAATGGTAGTCACCAAAAAAGACTCTCAAAAAGTAATGTCTTATTTATGCTTAGAAATTCATTTCATCAAAATGAATTGGACCCAGGGGGAAATCAGTGTTGCCTTAATGGGTATCAAAAACATTTCCTTATCTTTGTTGTGTAGCATTTCCCTGTTCTGGAGAGTTTTCTGGAACAGTTTTTTAGAGTGTCAGAAGAATGAAAGGGGAATTACTTCTGTCTACATTCTTTTGACAGTTGTTTGTTTGTTCATAGTTTATGGTTAATTAGCCTTTTTCCCTTTTCTGAGTTTCATTGATCTTTTGTCTCTTTGAATGTAGGGTCAGAGTCAGAGTGGTGGACACGGACCTGGAGGAGGCAAGAAAGATGACAAAGTAAGGAAAAATAACTGTGTTAAGTGAATATTTGTAGAAAGCATCTTCCATGCTAATTAAGATATATTAAGATAATCAATATATATATATATTCCCTCAGTTGCCCTTGTTAAATAAAAATTGAGAAAATCAAATATTGTGTTTATATATATTATGAACCTATGTTGAATTTTCATTATAGTGATCTAGTTTTCAGAATCATGTAATTGCTTTTACTGTAGTGTATATGGATAAGTAGCCAGTTTAAATATGCCATGATTTATGTGCCTTTCTCTTTCATTTTTATTCATTATAGTTTTTTTATTTAATCTGGACCCTATGATTTAATGGAAACAATGATTCTGCTTAAATTTGCAACTGTCTTGTTTCTAATAACCATAGCTAAGATAATTCATAGTTCAATGTTCAAATCTATCCCGTAGGCACACTGGTAATAATTATAATTTATTAAGCCTGCATGCTGCCAGACTCCCAGTAACTCTGGCCAACTCGCAACTACAAAATTATTAAATAAAAATGGAAAGTGGGACAGACCACATGGAATGAAACAAATGGTCTCACTCTCCCTTGCCAAAGGACTGGGTAAAGAGATAGGCCTTCACACCTCTTCTAAACAGCAACAGATTGGAGGCTATCCTAATTCCAGAGGTCAGGCGCTGCTACAAAGAATATGTGTTTCTGTGGTCCCAATAGATGACATTTCAATCTGGAATACCCCAAGGTTGAATTGGCTGAGCAGACATTATGGGAGATGGGCAGTCCCTCAAGTAACCAGGCTCTACGTCATGGGCAATTATGAAGTTAAATCCCAATTTATTTAGAAAGCAATATAATAACTTTATAGTTTGGATTAGATGATTTATGAAATATTGGGTAATTTAGAACTTTTGAAATATTTGACAAAATCTTCTGAAAGTAGAGTTGAAATCTTAAGATCCATATTATTTTCTATAAATTGCTTTTTTAACCTGATTTTTAAAATAAAAAGGACAAAAAGAAGAAATATGAACCCCCAGTTCCAACCCGAGTGGGGAAAAAGAAGAAGAAAACAAAGGGACCAGATGCTGCCAGCAAACTTCCACTGGGTAAGCATGGTTTGTGTCACCTATTTGAGTAGCTATAGCTAAGATATAGGATAGTTTTTTCAGCATGCAAAAAGCTCCCACTTAATACTTGAGCAATTTAGTTTTCAAAGCTCTGAGCTTGAAACATTGAAGGGCTAAAGAGTAACTGGAACCGAATTAGGTTACTCAGTGGTTTGTTTTGAAATAGAACAAAAACTTAGATATTTTCATCTTTGGGGTATTATATCACAGGATCCAGAACATTAATTCATAGAGTTGGAAGAAGCCAGATTTTTTAAATTGATTTCAGGAGTTGATTATTTTACAAACATAAAAACATAATTTCTCTTTCCTTGGAATAAGATGCAGCCCTCTCAAGAATTTCTTTAAATTCTGTCCTTGGAATTTGTTTAGGCTCACATATTGCTACATCGGTTCCATGCAAAAAGGCAATTCGTCCATCAAAAAGCAGTGCCCAAAATAATAGGAACAAGAAGCATCCCAGACAAAAGACAGGAATTTAAAAATTATTTTAGTTCACTGTCCCTTTCTTCAAATCCCCTAAACAAGTTGAATATATTATTCCAGACCCTACATTTAGAAAGTCTTTTATTTGATTGTAGTCACTCCTCATACTCAATGCAGACTCAAATTATTGAAGCTGGAAAGAATTAAGGATTATCTTCTGATGGAGGAAGAGTTCATTAGAAACCAGGAACAGATGAAACCTTTGGAAGAAAAGCAAGAGGTATGTATGCTTTGAATAGGGGAAAAAACTGCTTAAATTCATCATAGGTTGTGTTTTTTTGTTATCAACTTACTTATTCTCATTTTGTACCTTCCAACTTCACTTCATTCACCCAGCAAAACAAACTATATGAAAAAGGACAAATGTTGTCTAAAATGCCATGCTACTTTTTCATACTAATTGATGTGAATTTTAAATAAAGGTAGAACGTAACTTAACAACCACAATTGGGATAAGAATTTCATTGCTAAGTAAGGTAGTTTTTAAGTGAGTTATGCCTGATTTTATAAAAGATTTAATAACCTTTTTGCCACAGTTATTAATCAAATCACTGCAGTTGTTAAGTGAGTCAAACAGTTGTTAAATGAACCCAGCTATTCTCATTGACTTTGTTTGTGAGAAGCCAGCTGGGAAGATTGCAAATAGTGACACAGGACTGTCACTTTTTTCAGTGCTTTTGTAACATTGAAGAGTCACTGAATGGTTGTAAATTGAGAACTATCTGTACACTTTAATGTATTTGTTAAACTTTTTATATAGCTAATGTGAATAGAAACTTTTTTAGTAAAACAAAATATACTTGTTTTTTAAAAATAATGTTCGGAAACAAAGATACAGCCTTGGTGGTATTCAAAATCACCAATAAACCCAGGATTTTGCAATGTTTTTGAACTCAGTTTTGCTTTATTATAAAATGAATAAAGTTTGCTTCTATGTTTTTAAAATTGAATGCTTATTTTTTAGTTTAGCTCAATAACAGGAGTTATACATGTACAAATTTTAGGATTTTCCAGAGTAAGAGACTTTGTGTTGCTAAACTGCTGTAGGTGAAGATAACATGGCATAAACAGTTTAGTTAAAACAGGCTCAAATAGTATGGGATTCGATTTCAGTTAATGGAATAGTTTGCTTTGGCACATATATATTTTAGGATAGTTAACGAGAGCATATCAAAGAGATCACAAACTTATTAGTTAAGAAGAAGGCTTAAGATAGGCTTAAGATACAGAAGAATCTTGACAGACTTGAACATTGCGCGCTATCTGACAAGATGAAATTCATTGGTGAAAAAAGTAAGGTTCTACGTTTAGGCAAGAAAAATCAAATGCACAGGTATAGTATAGGTGGTACCTTACTCAATAGTAGTAACTGAGAGGGATCTCGGAGTCCTAATGGACAATCACTTAAATATGAGCCAGCAGTGTGCTGCAGCTGCCAAAAAAGCCAACACAGTGCTAGGCTGAATTAACAGAGGGATAGAATCAAGATTATGTGAAATGTTAATACCACTTTACAATGCCTTGCTAAGGCCACACTTGGAATACTGCATCCAGTTTTGGTCACCACGATGTAAAAAAGATGTTGAGACTCTAGGAAGAGTACAGAGAAGAGCAACAAAGATGATCAGGGGATTGGAGGCTAAAACATATAAGGAACGGTTGCTGGAATTGGGTATGTCTAGTTTAACGAAGAAAAGGACGAGGGGGGACATGATAGCAGTGTTCCAATATCTCAGGGGCTGCCACAAAGAAGAGGGAGTCAAGCTATTCTCCAAAGCGCCTGAAGGCAGGACAAGAAGCAAAGGATGGAAACTAATCAAGGAGAGAAGCAACCTAGAACTAAGGAGAAATTTCCTGACAGTTACAACAATTAATCGATGGAACAACCTGCCTCCAGAAGCGGTGAATGCTCCAACACTGGAAGTTTTTAAGAAGAGACTGGACAGCCATTTGTCTAAAATGATATAGGGTTTCCTGCCAGGGGGTTGGACTAGTTGACCTCCAATAATAATAATAATAATAATAATTATTATTATTATTATTATTTTTATTATTTTTATTTGAGTAATGTGACATATTTGCAATAAAATCCTAAAAGAATCTAAGCAGAATCTGAATTCTATCATTCTCCTCCAACAAGATATTTATAATCAACACTTTCATTCTGTCGATCATCATAATCCTAAAGTCTTTTTCCTTTCCCATCTACTCACACCCCATTAAATAATGCAGAGTTTATTTCACTTAGTACATAGTTATAACTAAATGTCTTATAGCTAAATGTCTATAGCTAAATGTTAATTATGTACTAATATATGTCCATTTAAATGCCATTCAAATGTTCTTTCCTCATGGAAAAATCTTTTAGACTAACTCTCTTAAATAGTTTGGTGTCATCGAGTAATTTGACTAAATAATCTTGCTGATCTAATTCAGTTCATTTAAATCTCGGTCCCAATCTCATATATAATCCTTGTGGGAATCTCAGTATTCATTTTTCCATTTTGAAAAAGGCAGAAATTAACCAGACCTAGTTTGACAGTAGAGGTAGATAATACCAATTGAATATTTTAACTTATTTCTGAGAAAGTAATTAAAGTGGCATTTGTGTAAGGTCTTAGTATTAAGATATTACATGCTGAATACTTAGACATTAATGGTGAGATACTTAATAATGAAAATACTTAGCCAGTTCTTCTGTTTTGGGATTGTTGAGGAAGCCATAAAATTGTCATTTCTTGATTGTGTAATAGATATAGAAATTGTTGGGATGCGTGGCGATTTGTAATACATAATCATAACCTCTTTTTGTGTGCTTGTTTGCAGGAAGAGAGGTCAAAGGTGGATGATCTGAGAGGGACTCCTATGTCTGTAGGGACCTTGGAAGAGATAATTGATGATAATCATGCTATTGTATCCACATCAGTAGGATCAGAACACTATGTCAGTATTCTTTCTTTTGTAGACAAGGATTTGCTAGAGCCAGGATGTTCAGTTCTACTTAATCATAAGGTAATTCTTGCTTTTTTTGTCTGTGATTGAAAGCACTGAAAGTAGATAAATGTTATGAATATCTTAATATTCATTATCTAGATTAAACTAAAAGTCATTAAGATGTAGACTTTTATCTTGATCAAGACAATGTTGTCTCAGAACAAATTGTACATGACCAGTAACAACAGGAAATTCCCTCCTACAAAGATAAAAGAGAAAAAGAATCCACTCAGGCATATATTCATAAATTATAACATTCTTACAGTATTCAGATTAAAAAGAAAAACATTAATGGAAATTTGCTTAGTGGAACCAATTCTCCAACCTATTGGTTTCTTGCCTTCCCTCCAAGCTGTATGCTAGGTTTACAGCTTGCGAGGGATTTTTTTGTTTCTTTTGGTTATGGTTTTCTTTAGAAAGCTACAGACTCAGGAAAATTTAAACAGCCACAGTAGGAGAGATGATAATGCCTCCCACCAAAAATGAAAAGAAGCAAGTTAAGTTGTAATTCTGAATTATTGCTTATTAGAACCAACCAAGGTTGTAGCATTCTTGGACAAAAAATATAAATACAAATGATGATAGGATTATAATTTACCTACTACTCTGTCTCCAGACTAAGACACATATTGAGTCACACCAAAGTGACAGTAGAGACCAAGTCTGACTGCTGATCTGTAAAATTATTTGTATTTGTGCGACATAAGTCATTACATAGAGAATGTAAGATGCGACCTGGCTTGTCCACAGTATTTGCTCATCCCTCCCCAAAAGGGTTGAGGTGTGTTCCCATAACTTTCAGATTTACCAGGAGGCCTTCTCTTTCCTCTGTGGTTTGGAAAAGAAATTGTCATCAACTTAACTACACTTAACCAGAAGCTACAGAGTGCCAGTCTCTGAGAAATAGATTTTAAGAACTGAATTTGACCATATGAAATGTCCTATCAGTCTGCAGTAATGCTGTTTCTACTTTATGCTAGTCCTGTAATAGGGCAATGGCTTAAATCACGGGTGTCAAACTCGCCACGTCAACTCTTTTTGCATTGCCGGCAATGGGGTGGGCGCGGCTTCGGTATGATGAAACCAGCCCGCGGGCCAGCAGTTTAACACCCCTGGCTTAAATGCTTTCCTACTATTGGATGCTTCTGCCCATTGCTTTTAACAGGTCCATGCTGTGATTGGTGTCTTGATGGATGACACGGATCCTTTAGTTACAGTGATGAAAGTGGAAAAAGCTCCACAAGAGACATATGCAGATATTGGAGGCCTGGATAACCAAATTCAAGAAATCAAGGTATTAATATTTCTTGCATTGTCCAGTAGTGGGAAAATGCCAGAACATTTTATTACTAGATGATGCCTTAGAATTGCAATACTTCTATTTCTGTTCCAGGTGACTTTTATTTAAATGGCTTGGGTATTTTGCTTACTTCAATAACTGCTTACTTGAAATAGTAGTTTGATAATTGCCACTGCCACCATCTCTTCTCCATGGAGATGCTTTTCTGCCCAAGGAATGCATACATATATTTTCCATTTATATAAGTTTTTGTAGGTCCCATGCTAAGATAGGTTCTTTGACCCAGTTTCTCAGAACCTTCCTCAAGGCTTCCCAGTTTAAGAGCCTAAATTCTTAAACTAGCTCTAATCTCTAGGTATGTCAATCAAAAGGGTATGGACAAATATTTTTAAAAAAATTTCTAAGATGGAGTAACTTGCAACGTGTAGCATAAAGATATGTGACTAGATGAGTTAGTCCTTCCTTCCCTCCTTTGATTTTCTAACCAGGAGGAGCCTTAGGTTGATAAAAGGCTTGATCAACCTTGAAAGTTTATGTAATTTCTTCCTTCTAGGAATCTGTGGAACTACCTTTGACTCATCCTGAGTATTATGAAGAAATGGGAATAAAGCCACCCAAAGGCGTCATTCTGTATGGGCCTCCTGGCACAGGTAATTTTTTTCTTGTATTTTTATAGCAGCATATGGCATTAATACATTTATTACAGAATAATATATTGAAGTGTTTATATCAATAAAGCCAATCATTCTGCCTTAGCATATGCCTCATCGTATTGGCTGAAAGCTATAATCAATGTATTATTACTATTCTTGGAATTGGCCTTTATGATTTGATGGTCTTCACCAAGAGCTAACGCGTAACTTATTTACATCTAGCTTGTTTACCCCCATCAGAAAGAGATCAGATAGTTGCCAAGAAATCAGGTGGTGTTTTCAGGATATGTGGTACAGAAACTAACTGATACTGGTATTTCTCAAGCAGTGATATGAGTCACTAGTGACAGAAATGAAGAATGTTTCCATGAGAGAAAAGAGTATAGCAGCCAGGATCCAGTAGAGCAGTGTTTCTCAACCTTGGCCACTTGAAGACGTCTGGACTTCAACTCCCAGAATTTTGGGAGTTGAAGTCCTGACGTCTTCAAGTGGCCAAGGTTGAGAAACACTGCAGTAGAGTATCCTGAGGTAAAGGAAAGAGAGCATTGTAGCAGAATATTTTCCTAAACTTGAATTTAGGAGCCAAATCCAGATCCCTTCCATTATTTAGATGGAATTTTTAGATTAGACTTAGGACAAGACTCTTTCCTCAGTAAGTAATGCTATTTCACTTCCTGTAAATTTTCACTATTTTACAGTTAAAAGAAAAAAAATGATCCACAACTTAACAGCAATTTTAATGACCTTGAAATTATAGTAATACCAAGAAAGCTTTTTATTTCTACCTTGATTTTTTGATAAAACAACGGATTAACTTAAAACATGGACGTTTAGAATCACTGATCAATTTGGAACCTGAATTGAATTGATATTTGTTTAATAAATCTGTATGATGGTTTATTTTCATTTTGGCTTTCTGTCCAATTTATACAAAGTGATGACAGATAAACTTATTAGATCCATTCCACACAGTTCTCAGAGCCCAATCAGGCTTTAATTCTTCATCTTTGTAAAAAAGGGGAATCAGTCAGACTTGTGAATCCATCCTGCCTTCCCTTCTTATATTGTGGGCAAATTTTATCTACGAAAGCATGCTGTATCCAAGGGGAACCAGAGGGCAGATACCTTATCAAGCCAAATCAGATTTTGTTATCAGTTTGGAAAATGATAGTGTGAGCGATGTGTGTGTGTGCGCGCGTGTGCACATGTGCATACACACATGGAGAAAGTAAATAAAAATATATGAACCGAACCGCTTCCCCTCATATTACATATGGAAAATTATGAGAAATGTTTTTGAAAATTAGGACACTATGGATGATTCTGCACCCCAAGTGGAACTATGCTTCTCATATTAATTTGCATAGACATAGTGTGTGAGATCTGTCAGTCCTTTGATGCTGAAACTGCTGTCTTTTAAGGAAGTATGGTTGATTTGATTACTTCATTCTATTACTTACTTTGCATAGATCCACCTGTCAGAATAAAATAATTTCCTATTCCAAATATGAAAGCGACAAAGAGTACTTTCTGAGCATCTTTTTAAATTGACAGGAAATCAGTTTATCTGTTCCTGCTTCTCTTTCTGTACTTCAGACAGTGAATTCAAATAGGAAAAAATCTGTTTACATGTCTCAAGCATGTAAATACTTCCAAGGTATAACTCCATTGTTTATTGACTTAAATGCCAGACTTGATCTATAGTAGATAGCTTGAGGACTTTTGTCAGTATTCTGATTTGGGTGATTGCCTTCATGCATGTATGTGTAACACAAGTTGGAGCATGCGCTAAATTTCTGGCATTTTGTAATTAAACAGGTAAAACGTTATTAGCCAAAGCAGTGGCAAATCAGACTTCTGCCACCTTCCTGAGAGTGGTTGGTTCTGAACTCATCCAGAAATATCTGGGAGATGGTCCAAAACTTGTTCGAGAACTTTTTCGAGTAGCTGAGGAACATGCCCCGTCAATTGTCTTCATTGATGAAATTGATGCCATAGGTACCAAAAGGTAGGACGTCATATTCTCATGCTGAGCATCACATGCATATCATTTAACACTCTTTTCTTTTTTTTAAAAAAAAAAATTGGTTTTCAGAAGTAAGAGTTTGAATAAGTAGAAGCGATGTGTATGCTGTCCCATCTTCAATTGTAAGAAAATTGTCAACCCTTATATTTATAGAAGCACATTAGTGCTAGCGTGCTTCAGGCTAAAATGTCTTAGCTAAACCATTTGTTTAATTTATAAGATACTTAATTGTTACCTCTAAAGCCTGACATTTTTAAAAACAAAGGGAGCAGGGCTAGTATGGAATGGGTTGCTGGAAAGCAATTTTTCTTTTTCATGAATTCAGGCTCAATAATTGTTTGTGAAATTATACAATTATTATTGAGTTTCTTTCCTTTATTTTCTTTTGGAATTCAAGACTAGGAACACTTTTTTACTTTTATCCTCACCACAACCTTGTAAATTAGGCTTGGGGGGAGGATTTAAACTTGAGTCTTTTGCATCCCCATCCAACATGCTGATCACTCACTACACTGAGGGAGTGGAGGATTATTTTATGTTTGCCAAGAATGAAGTACTAGAGGCAAGAGATAAGCCTGAAAAGGAGATGGGTGGGAAATACCTTGTTGGATATACTTCCGAAAAGGGGATAGTGGGAATGGAGGCAGGAGAAAGGGAAATCCCATTGTGGTTACTTTTGCCAATCAATGGAGTTATAGAGGACATCACTCCGTCCTCCCCCTTGAATGTAGAAAGGCTGTGGCTGGATTTCATAACAATTCTGGAGAATTAGCTGGGAGTACAATACAAACCATTCACTTCAATAACGTTTACTACAGATTAAATCTGCATAAGTTTTCATCTGCCATTTTTCTTCTCTTCCTTTCTTCTCATAGCCCATGCTCATTCTGTTTCCTCCCTCTCTTTTTTTCCTGCTTCTGCTACAAGGAGGCAGAGTATGTGCGGAAGGGAGAATTATTTATGTGTATATGCAGATGGAGGAGCAAATTTAGGAACAAGCAGTTTATTTTACAATCAGTTAATTTTGATTTGTTATTGAGTCATTTAATATTGGCATAATTTTTTTTACAGCTTTGTCTTTTTTTGGAGTTTACTCTGTGGCAAATATTTGCATAAATAAAAATACATCATGTATGCTACTTTGTTGAAGAAAGATAATCTTTAGTATTGACTGAGTGAACATGGTGAGGAAAGGAGGTGATGAATTCTGTATGTGGTTATAATAATTCCTTATCTAATATTTAATTTTTGAAGGTTCATCTTTAAATAGGAATCACTTGGAGCAGAAACATAGTTGCAAATACGAACTGCTATTATGGATTACTGTGGCGATATTTTAACTGGGAATTTAAGAAATGCTGCTCATAGCATACTTTTAACTGTAGAACCTGTTATACTCTAATCAGAGTTTTTAATCGAACTTCAGAAGTGATGTCTTATCCTGGGCGAACAGTGTTCTGTGTATTGCTTCTATCAAAATGTGTAATTCATTGCCCTATGGCTTCTCAGTTGATTAGGTAAAGAAAAATATTGTGTTCTATGGGTATTCTAATCTTAACTTAGGTATTTTTTTTCCTATACCAAAGGTACGATTCTAACTCAGGGGGAGAAAGGGAAATCCAGAGAACAATGTTGGAGTTGCTGAACCAATTAGATGGGTTTGATTCACGTGGAGATGTAAAAGTGATCATGGCTACTAACCGAATAGAAACGTTGGATCCAGCTTTGATCAGACCAGGTAAAAAGTATGATGGTCACATTTAACTACTTAAAATCTAACTACTTCTAATGGTTAGTTTCATGTAGAATTGTGTGAGCTGTTCCCTATATGTCATTGTGTTTCCTAGAGCGTTCTGTGTTTTTCATTAGAATGGGTTGATCCAAGCTGATCTGGGCATGGTTTGAAAAAAAAAACTTGGGAATCAGATCACATCCAAAGCTTGAAATGTTTTGCTCTTTCAAAAGGTTTACTTTTCACTCAAATTGCCCTGCTCAGGGAGAAAACCAGTATTCTAGGGAATGAATTACTGCATTTTCTACAAATTTTATAGCTTTCTTTCTGAAGCGTTTATATATGTTTATATGCATGTGTGCATATGTGTATGTATGTATGTATTTGATTTTTATGATTAACGATCACAAATATATAATTCTCAGTGACTAACAATATTAAAAGTAATAAAATCCTATACAAAAACTAAAACACATACCAGCCAAAGGAACATTGCAAAAACACCAGTCAAAACAACCAGGCAACAAGCTGAAACACAGAACCAATTCTTCAAGGCCTTGTGGAAGGCCAGCAGGGTTGGGGCCAATCAGATCTCCAGAAAGAAGATGGATGGATGGCATGGTAGAAAAAGTTCTCCTCTTGGACTGTGGCAGCACACACTCTTGCTGGACCAGATGGATTGAATAGAAACGGACATATATTAAATTTTACCATGTTGTGTAAGCCCATATATACACACACAAAGGATTTCCCTTAAGACCTTTCTTAAGGACTCTTCATTCTTTTGGGGATGGTGGGAACATGTGGAATTTTGGGGAAGTGTCATGACTATCTTTTCACACAAAGAGCTTGCAAGGATGGGAGATAGATCTTATTACTCAATATTTTTTTTTCAATCGTCGATTTGCCACATCCGCAGCCAAACTGAAAAAGTACAGTGTGACAACTGATACTAATTAAATCTATGCGATTGGGATTAAGTAAAGTTTCTGGAGTGCCTATTCATGTAACTTGATATTGAACAGTACATGAAATAATTTGAAATATAAATATTTGTGTGGCTTACGAAGTTTGAGGGAAGAAATGTTTTGGTTCATCAATAAGGAGAAATTATTTTATTTGTGAAGTAGGGAGGAAATAAAAATGAAATTCTGTGCATCTAATATAACTGTCCAAAGATGCACTAGTATTTTCTGAGATAGTATCAAGGCCAAATAATGTTATTTTCCAAGGAAAGCTTTCTGTTTTTGATTTCGCAAGCAAAAATCTGAAATAGCTAATTGTTTTTTTCTAAATTCTAGGACGTATTGACAGGAAGATAGAATTTCCTCTGCCAGATGAAAAAACGAAGAAGCGCATCTTTCAGATTCATACCAGCAGAATGACTTTGGCAGTTGATGTTACTCTAGATGAGTTGATAATGGCTAAAGATGATTTGTCTGGGGCAGATATAAAGGTAAAATCCTTGATAACAAATGATTTTTTCCCCCCAAAGTAAATTTATTGAGCTTTTGTGTCATGCAGTATTTTGCATCCCTTTCCAGTGAAGACTTTCCTACAAATGCCTTTTGTTTAACCAGTCATTAAAGAAATTGTGGCTTTGCAGTTTTGCTTCCAAAAAGCCCCAGTCACTTTCTTTTCTCTTTTTCACCCATTTTAAAAAAAACACTTGTTTTTCTACTTCTTGATACAGGTAGTTTATTTACTGATTATTCAAAGTTACAGTGGCACTGAAAAAAATGACCTATGATCCCTTTTCAAACCTAGGACCATTGCACCATCTCCTTGGTCATGTGATCTAATTTCAGATGGTTGGTAACTGGTTCATATTTATGACAGTTGCAGTGTCCCTGGGTCAGGTAATCACCTTTTGCGGCCTTCTGACAAGCAAAGTCAACGGAAAAGCCAGATTGACTTAACAGCCACGTTAGTAACTTAACCATAGCAGAAACTCAGTTACCAGCTGGGGTAAAACGGGGCAAAACTCACTTAGCAACTGTCTCACTTAGCAGTAGAAATTTTGGGCTCAATTCTAGTCATAAGCTGAAGACTACCTGTAATAAATATTTCATTGTTATGGCAGTCTTTTCTGAGTGAAGGGGATGTTCTCTCCCCCCCCCTCCTAAAAATATTTGGAAAGGCATTAATGGTCATTGTTGGCATGGGAAAAGTCATCAATGGAAGAGAAAATGAACATTTGGCCACCTCTCATGAGAGTTGCTGCATGATTGGTGTAAAAAGCTTGTAGGAATGTTAGTGGCTAAGGAAGTCAGCCTATATATCTATCAAAAGTTACTGACCTCTGTTGTGAGTAGCAGGTTTCATTCTTTCAGGAGAATTACAATTAGAGAGGGAAAAATAATCTAATATTAGTAATGACATGCTGTGCATTGCAGTCAAATCACCTTTGTTTCTGATTAATGACTATTTAATGCCGTTCTTTCTACCCTATGGTTTCTAGTATACATGAGGGCCACCAGCTTGTTTGAACATCATTGGTTCTTAGCACTTCATACAGGTCAGACTCCTGATTTTCTAATCAAATGCTTCCATTTCTAATAGGCCATTTGCACAGAAGCTGGTTTGATGGCTCTGCGTGAACGAAGGATGAAAGTAACAAATGAAGACTTCAAAAAATCAAAAGAAAACGTTCTTTATAAGAAACAGGAAGGCACTCCAGAAGGCCTCTACCTTTAACTGCCCCACCTTTGTTTTGGTCATAGGTTGGGGTTAATTGCTTGAACCTTTTTTTTTTCCTTCAGAATGTGGAAAAGGCTTTAGAGAGCAAGGTGTTAACTGAATACAAAAAGAAGCTTTTGCTGCTGAAAGTATGATAATTCACTTACCGTGAATGTCTGTGTATTGTGGCATACGTTTATTGTGAAATACTTTGTCATTAAAAATGGATTTCCAAGTGAATGTGGATGATTGGATTAGAATTTAAGCAAAGATGGGCTTTTAATGTGTGTCCCAGGTGTTCTGTTGCCTCTCAGGCTACAAATTGACATTTTTAGCAGACTCTGCAAATGTTCTGTAATTGGTTGAGGCACTTAGTCTAAAGTGCAGCTGAATGTGCGTTGCTTGAATTTACATATATACCCAGAAAGGTATTGAAAAATATAGTGATGGAAATACTGCAGAAGGACCTGATTTGTGGAAAATCCATGCAGTTCTCAGGAGAAAAAAAAAGTTTTGAAACAGAACTGCTGTCTGCAGTGAAAATGGTTTTGATGTATGAGAAGACTCTTCTTCCATTTCATTTAGTTCTCAGTCCCCTAAGGCTATGGTTTGCCAAATCACACATACATAAGCAATGAGGTTTCGTTGCCAAAGTTGTTTGGACAAAAGTAAATCATCTTTAAAAACACAGCCAATTCCTCCCTTGCACCACTATAGTCAAGTTGTGCTGATTCAGTTCTTGCAACTACGGTAATCACAATTTGTTCAAAAAAGTGAACGTAGCCGTTGTATAGGAGAACGTTTTCCAAATTTGACAGGGAAATGTAAAATTATGGAAATTAATTTAATTATGGAAAATTAAACATCCATTCTATCTTTAAATGAGCTACTCTGATTAAACTCCCAGCTGAGTACATAAAGTTTTATTCATTCTAGTGCAGACCTGGGCATTTACGGCCCCATAGGATACATCCTGCCCCTTAGCTCTTCCTGTCTGACCCACGTGAAGCCAATCAGAAATTAGAAATCAAATGGTAAATACGTGCACTGCAGAGAGCAGGAGAAGCTGCCAAATCAGGTCCAGCTCTGCACAGTTGCTATGTGCTCCTTTGGTCAGCTGTCAGCCATGGGAGAGCAAGACGAAAGTGGGCTTTTCTGCGCCAGTGCAGTGCTCACCCTTCGCCTGGAGGAGCCTGAGGAGTTGAGGTGAGGAAGCTTGAGGACATCAAATCAGATTACGTCTTCCACAATAATCCCAGTTTCTCATATGGCCCCTTGGAAAAATTAATTGCCCACCCCTGCTCTAGTGTTTAGTATGCATTCCCACTTCACCAATGGGACAAATTCAGTACTGGAAGATTCTTACATACCGTTAAGAATGCTGGTGCTTTTTATGTTTGGGATACTTGGTATGCTCAAAACAAGCTTTGTGGACTTAATAAAGTGAAAAATGAAAAAGCTGTCCTTTTCTTAAAGGTATATATGGAATTTGGGTTGGTACCTATTCTGCTTATTCATTCTGGTATTAAAAAGATTTGATAGTTAATAAGCAATGCATAACCTTGCCCAGGGCCCTTTGCAAAGGAGACTAAACAGGACTGCAGTGAGGGGAAAAAATATTTGATCCCCTGCTGATTTTGTACGTTTGCCCACTGACAGAAATGATCCGTCTATAATTTTAATGGTAGGTTTATTTTAACAGTGAGAGAATAACACCAAAAAAATCCAGAAAAACACATTTCAAAAAAGATATAAATTGATCTGCATTTTAATGAGTGAAATAAGTATTTGATCCCCTATCAATCAGCAAGATTTCTAGCTCCCAGGTGTCTTTTATACAGGTAACGAGTGGCAATTAGGAGCACTCTCTTAAAGGGAGTGTTTCTAATATATATAAAAGACACCTGTCCACAGAAGCAATCAGATTCCAAACTCTCCACCATGGCCAAGACCAAAGAGCTGTCCAAAGATATCAGGGACAAGATTGTAGACCTACCCAAGGCTGGAATGGGCTACAAGACCTATCGCCAAGCAACTTGGTGAGAAGGTGACAACAGTTGGTGCAATTATTCAGCCCAGAACTACATGGGAGGATTTTGTCAATGATCTCAAGGCAGCTGGGATCATAGTCACGAAAACAGTTGGTAACACACTATGCCATGAAGGACTGAAATCCTGCAGTGTCTGCAAGGTCCCCCTGATCAAGAAAGTACATGTACAGGCCCGTCTGAAGTTTGCCAATGAACATCTGAATGATTCAGAGGAGAACGGGGGGAAAGTGTTATGGTCAGATGAGTCCAAAATTGAGCTCTTTGGCATCTACTTGCCGTGTTTGGAGGAGGAATGCTGCCTATGACCCCAAGAACACTATCCCCACTGTCAAACATGAAGGTGGAAACATTTTGCTTTGAGGGTGTTTTTCTGCTAAGGGGACAGGACAACTTCACCACATCAAAGAGACGATGGATGGGGCCATGGATATTCCAGCATGGCCATGACCCAAAACACACGGCCAAGGCAACAAAGGAGTGGCTCAAGAAACACATTAAGGCCTGGAGTGGCCTAGCCAGTCTCCAGACCTTAATGCCATAGAAAATCTGTGGAGGGAGCTGAAGGTTCAAGCTGCCAAACATCAGCCTCAAAACCTTAATGACTTGGAGAGGATCTGCAAAGAAGAGTGGGACAAAATCCTACCCAAGATGCATGCAAACCTGGTGGCCAACTACAAGAAACATCTGACCACTGTGATGGCCAACAAGGGTTTTGCCACCAAGTACTAAGTCATGTTTTGCAAAGGGGTCAAGTACTTATTTCACTCATTAAAATGCAAATCAACTTATAACTTTTTGAAATGCATTTTTCTGGATTTTTTTGTTGTTATTCTGTCTCTGTTAAAATAAACCTACCATTAAAATTATAGACTGATCATAGACTTTTGTCAGTGGGCAAACGTACAAAATCAGCAGGGGATCAAATATTTTTTTCCTCACTGTACTGTATATAGTCTGATTTCTTCATTGAAAGAGTGTAGTTTAAAATCCATCTTTCCTACTTCACCATGCTTGCTTGGAATGGGTTTTGTAATAAAACAGCTGAAATTCAGGTAGAATTACTCTGCTTTAGATGAATAGTAAATCTATATTGGAATAGTAAATCCTTGGTAGTTCAATTCTCTGCTGCTGGTAGTAAATAACTAAGATAATGGGCGTCATTGATAAGATATTTTCCCCCCTTAGGAAATGTAAAAGCAGTGTAAAAAAAAAGTACAACTAAGTGTAGCAGGCTGTTTAGTGCATCAATGTTATGTATGTATTATTCAAAATAATTGAGGTTATACGCGTGCCCCTTTCATACTGTAGATGAAACATAACAGATGCCATTTCTGAATGAAGAATGGTGTAAGCCTGAGGGAGAATTCTCATGGCTGACATGAATGATTTAAACCACATATGACCTACGTTACTTTCATACTATGTCAAGCTCAACAAGGCAGCCTGTGTCAATATGGGGACCCAGAAATAAATGTCAGTAGAGTATAATTGCAGGCAGACAATCATAAATAGGTGCTCTTTTGCCAATTAGATTTCAGATCAAATATGATTGTGGGCTTCCTGGCCACAGCTTTATTTACCCATTCTTCTAGTACAAAGGTAGGTAAACATGGTACCCATTGATCTCCACTGGGCTACTCCTAGAATCTCTGCTCAACCCACCTTTAGAGTCTCCATTTTTGTAAAAGGACATCTGGCCTGCTGCAACTTGCCAGCTCCTAGCCTTATCTTACCAGGAAAAGCTAGGTGTCCCATAGCCATTATTTAAAGACAGAAAGTGATTGTAAGCATGACTTATTTTAAAATAGCCTTATCTGGAGTAGAAGAAGTGTGGTAAATAGCTAAAAAAAACATTTTTGCATATATTAGTAGAAAATGTATATAGGCCGATATACACATTCCAAGTTTAAACTAGCGTAACTGGATCAAATGGCCAAGATTTCTTCAGTGCTCAAATTTCTTTGGCTGTGAATACAGATGATCAGGTTGAACTGTTTAACTTTGGCAATACCATTATTATGTGTAGCCCAAATTATTTATAGGTGCCAAATGCAATTCTGAACTTGAGTTTAATTTGAATATAGGTGTTTGATTGGTTTTTATGAATTATTTATAAGTCAAAAAGCCCAGATGATAATATATCATGCAAACACTTTTCCAAGCAGATAAAATGCTCATAAGCAAGAGTGTACTTTCTAGAACCCTCTAAAAAACCTTAGTGGTGAAATAAATTCCCTTTCCCCCAAAATAACATCACCAGGAAGTCTATTTTGGCTTTTCTGTGGCCCAGTTAGGGTTTTATGACCAGATCTCATAACACCCTGACTGAATATTTTCACCAGATCAACGATCAACAGCATAGTACAATTAGATTTAATTGTACCTTGCAGAAATTGTTTCTCAGAATAATAATTAACCAAAAGTTTCAGTTTGTTTCTATTTTCAGTACGGTGAACAATCACCGTATTTTATTGTGGTTATAAATCTAAAATCTACTCAAATGTTTTAGCAGGTTCCAAGCAGAGCTGTTTCAGTGCCTGGGTGTATGAAATTACTGCTGTGACTCTAATAGCATGTGAAAGTTTACCATTGCACTGGAGTGATGTAGGACTTAAAAAAAAAGAATTCCCAGGCTTGTTATTGAAGGGGCCAGAGCCTCTGTACAAAATATGGGAAGACTTGGCATTGCTTACCATTCATGCATTGGACAGACAAGCACCTGTACAGAGGTAAAATAGGCTGGCTGAAGCTGCCCTGAATTATTCACTGAGTTGAAAGCTGTAATGGAGGATTAACTTCAAATTAACTGTTGTTTTTGGATTTCCCTAACCTTGAGCACCTTGTGCTTCTCTCATCTTCTGGAAACAAGCAAGCTACTGTAATAGTCCAAAATGTGGAACAGATTTCCTTTTTCTGGAAAACTTCAGACTTTTAAATACTCTGCTTATAGAGAGAGGGAGGGAAGGAGAGAAACTCCTTGTGTGTGTGTTTGTGTATGTTAGTGTTCTGGTCCTGCATTGGGAATTAAGCCAGCTGGGTGGCCTTAGGCTGATCACTCATTCTCTGCCCTAGGAAAGTGGCAGTGGCAAAATCTTTCAATTTCTCCCCAGCCACTAGCTAATATGGTGACTTTTTGTTCAGCCCCGAGTCTATCTATGTGAGACATCCATACTTTAAATTTATACCAGAACAAATATGGCTCATCAGCCCTACCATCTCTAAATACACTGGGTACCGCTTCAAATTATAAATGCTTTCTGGCTAGGTTGAATCAAGAAGCCCTTGTACATTTTAAATCAAGCCACTGAAAGCCACTGCTAATGTGAGTAAATAGCAATAGCAACAGCACTTAGACCTACGCCGCTGCGTAGTATTTTATAGCATTCTCTAAGTGGTTTACAAATGTTAGCCTATTGCCCCCAATAATTTGGGTCCTCATTTTACCAACCTCGGAAGGATGGAAGGCTGAATCAACCAGTTAGGATCGAACTCCAGGCTGTGGGCAGAGTTTGTCTGCAATACTGCATTCTAATCACTGTACCACCACAGCTCCATGCCACTACAGCAAACATTGCTTTAATATAAACTAGAATCTACTTACATCAGCAGTGCACAGAAACACTGAATGAAAGCCCTAATCAGTGCAATACTAGCGACTGCATTTCTAACATGTCCCTCCCTGCAAACTTTCAGAGTTCTATCCCATTATGATTAGCTTTGCTACATTTCTAGTTTTTTAAAACTTGTAACCATTGGCTAAGAAGACAGATATATAATTCTAAAGGGGAAAGCCTTAAATTTGAGAATCCATATGCATGCTTTGCTTTAATTTTTGTTATTTCAACCTATTTCAGCAGCAGTCTATATAAGCTAATTGCAACTGTTCCATATAGTATTATTAGAAAGTCCAATTTGTCTTCTGGTAAGTCAATGAACAGTAAATTTCAATGCAGTAATGAAGGGACAAATCAAAACGCAAAACATTTTTAAAAGATTCCACATTCCAATAGACCTTTTATATATAATTAATTACTTTTACAAAGATATTTACCTTTCATCTGACCTTTTGTCACAATAAACTGGTAAAAATTCAGTTACATATGCCTTCATTAATTAAATATTTCTTCTAAACTGTCAAATTGCTGCATATTCTATGAGTTTAAACTCAATCTGTATAATTCAAAGGTGTTTCAATCTTGAATAAACAGTCATCCATAAGATCAGACCTAACTGAAGCAAACAACTTCCTATTCAACTGCACTTTATCCTAGATATATTTGACTTATATATCTGGACTAGTGTTTTTATCAGTGAGGCAGTTACAAGTACTAATTAAAAGCCTTACCCATACCTACACTTAACGTACATGTTTGGATAAAAAAATAGACCCTTATTCTATACATTTTTACAGATGCTAAATTAGCCATTTCTCCCTGTAAAACTATATTGGAGGCTCATTAAACCAACGAGCTGATGGTTTGTCTTCATAGCTTTCTTCAGTCTTCAAGCAGCAATTCCAATTCTTCTATTGGTACCCGTACTCGTAGCTCTTTCTCAGCCATTAGATCAAGGAACTCTTGCAGCTCATCTGGAAAGTATTCTACAGCATCCATATATAACACCTATAAATACAGAGGTCAATAAAGAATTATCAATTCACGACAGTGCTGTGATAAATGAGACCTAGTTCCATTTAATAAAAGAACAAGTACAAAATAATTTATTAAACTTGTATGCTCCCTGACTCAACAATTCTGGGTAGTCACAACGAAGAACTTCAAATCAATTAAACATAAAAGTGGTAGTTTTGAAACAAAAAAAAAGTATCATTATTACAAATTAATGAAACCTACTTTTGCCCAGGGACAGTTTTGAAGAGCTCTGTAAAATACACCTTTACTTTTTGCTTTATCTCCCAAAGAAACCTGAAAAGGGAACAGAAAAGCTGCATTTTAAAAGGGCAAGCGTTTAGAAAATATATGAATTACAGTATATTTTTTTTAACTTAGAGATAAACAAGAAATGGATGGACATAATAAGTTGTGGTCAACAAAAGGAAAGCAAAACTTTTCAAAATGGTCCATGCAGCTGGCCCAGAAAAAAAGAGAAGAAAACCATCTGTTTGCTAAGACTCATTCGTATCGTAATGAATTGCACTTCAAAGCCTTCTCTGGCCTGATAGCAGTTGGGGCAAGGGATGCAATTCAACTTCCTCATCTTCCAAATGGGTGTAGTAGGAGATAATCTCACAATAGCATCAAGAACCAGAGTGAACTTTTATGCTGTTCCCCCCCTCCATCCAGGATTTTAAGTGTGGATTAGGAAGCCTCTGGGAGAAAGCAAAACTCCCACATAACCACTTTTAAGATCGCCCAAATCCTACTCCCCAAAATACAAATCTAAATTGTCATTTTGAGAATCTCTGAAGGTTCTAAAAGGATGGGATGGTTTATCCTATCCCAACTTAAAACAATTGAAGGCTGAAATTGGGCCACAAAATAGCTACATTTGGGTAAAGGAAGAAAACGAGAGTGAAAGGCCAGATCCTCATTTCTACACGTAAATTTAAAACAAATATTGCACAGCTGAAATTGTGATTTGGGCAGCCAAATTTTGGGGTGCTGAGGAAGGCTGCACAGGGCCCACAGATTACCCATCCCCGCCCTATCAATTACTGGAACTGATCTCTGATACATTTTGAAATGCATCGGATTGGGGAAGAATGTACAAATCTCACTACTGTATAAGTACATAAATAAAATGACAGTCCAATATTTGCTTTCAAAGATGAGGAAATCTCATTTTCTTTTTCTTTTTACAATTAACCTTCCTCCTGACAATGTGCCTCTAGGTCTAGGAACAATATGGGAAGTTAATGGAAAATTACAGACTCACTTAAAGGTAAAGGTTTCCCCTATCCAGTCGTTTTTGACTCTACGGGGCAATGCTCATCTCTGTTTCTTAGCTGAAGGGGCCAGCATTATCCAAAGATATTTGGTCGGTCATGTAGCCAGCATGACCATAGGCCAGTGGTGGTGAACCTATGGCACGGGTGCCAGAGGCGGCACTCAGAGCCCTTTCTGTGGGCACGCATGCCGTCGCCCCAGTCCTAGGCCTTCAGCTGGGTTTTATAAAACCTTTTCCCTTTAGGCCTCTGCCACCGTGTACAAAAAAAAAAGGTTCAATCAATCAGTCAATTTCAACTTCTCGTGGGGAAAAAAAAGATCTTGCGAAGTTGGAATTGATTGATTGAACTTTTTAGTTCCACCCAGTCTGCTGTTACCACTGCAGCCACACCCACCCAATGGGCCACACCTACCCAATGGGCCACACCCACCCGGCACCCGACGATGCATAAGTGGGTTTTGGGTTGCAGTTTGGGCACTCGGTCTCTAAAAGGTTCGCCATCACTGCTATAGGCCAAGGCACACAGAACGCTGTTACTTTCCCACTGAAGTGGTACCTATTTATCTACTCACATTTGCATGCTTTCGAACTACTAGGTTGGCAGGAGCTGGGGCAAGTAATGGGAGCTCACTCCATCCCATGGCGCTTGGGATTTCTAGCTGACAAACTTAGTGTCTTTAACTACTAAGCCATCGCCTGCCCCCCCCCTCCAGGCTCCCTTACCTTACTTTAATAAAGATGAGACAAAACATCAAAGCAGATATATTTGATACATAAACTAGTTTCTACAGTGATCTTGCAGTCCATATACTTCCACTGCACTCATAGGCATAAAACCAATTGTAAAATGTACTATTCTAAAAGCTTTTAACCAATAATACATTCAGAGATTACCTACAGGATTAGAGAATGTAAGGCAAATGATGATGCACTCACCATGAAGCATATATACAACCTCCAGAGCAACGGGCAATGAGCACCATTTTCAGTCTGAATCGCATGTTCAAATAAAGCTTTGATTCGATTTGTTAACCCAATTTCAGGAATCGTTGCATACACATCTCCAGTCGGCTCCCTGAAGAAAAGCAAAAACTGAACGTCACAGGAGAATCAAGAGTCTTCATCAGCACACAGGAAAAACTGGACAGCATGAGTCCATGTGACTAAGGTTCTCCTGAGGGCTCCAAGATAAACTGCATAGGATATCTAACTTTATTTTTAACATTTAGTTTTCATATGAATATGAATATGAATTTCATATTCATACTTTAATTTTGTATTTATAATAATTTTTTTTGGCAATGACTGGAGTGGGGGAAAAGCTAGTCACCAGCTAATAAGAGAAAGAAAGACAACTAAGTGCAATGCAGCTGCCAAAAAAGCCAACACAGTGCTAGGCTGCATTAATACAGGGATAGAATCAAGATCACGTGAAGTATTAATACTACTTTACAATGCCTTGGTAAGGCCACACTTGGAATACTGCATCCAGTTTTGGTCACCACGATGTAAAAAAGATGTTGAGACTCTAGAAAGAGTACAGAGAAGAAAAACAAAGATGATCAGGGGACTGGAGGCTAAAACATATAAGGAACGGTTGCTGGAATTGGGTATGTCTAGTTTAATGAAAAGAAGAAAGAGGGGTGACACGATAGCAGTGTTCCAATATCTTAGGGGCTGCCACAAAGAAGAGGGGGTCAAGCTATTCTTCAAAGCACCTGAAGTCAGGACAAGAGGCAATGGATGGAAACTAACCAAAGAGAGAAGCAACCTAGAACTAAGGAGAAATTTCCTGACAGTTAGAACAATTAATGAGTGGAACAACCTGCCTCCAAAAGATGTAAATGGTCCAACACTGGAAGTTATTAAGAAGAGACTGGACAAACATTTGTCTGAAATGGTATAGGGTTTCCTGCCTGAGCAGGTAGTTGGACTACATGACCTCCAAGGTCCCTTCCATCATCATCATCATCATCATCATTATCATGATGCAACTAAACAAAGGTAAGAACAGAACTGCTGGCTGGACCAATTAGATAAATCGTACCAATTGGATATGCTAGAGCCAACATGTGCCATCCTCTCCTGTGCTTGCCCATACACTGCTCATCTCCCTCTGGGTGCCACTGCATTGGATTCAAGTGTGGCATATCCAATAGACCTGACCATCCCAGGGCTAGGTGAATGGATAAATTCTGCTTGAATTCAAGGATGACAGTGGTGGCAGAACAGAAATAGAGAGAGGATAAACTCAATAGCATTGTTCTATTTACTGATAAAACCTTTCCAGAATTTGTCATGGCTGAAACTGGGAACAATCAAAATGCTATGGTTGCTTAGGTTCAGTCTTCCTATCTGGAATGGCTGGCTGCCACAACGTGGTTGTTTCCTGTTCAAAACATAAACCTTTTCAATTTCATGCATAGCTCTCCAACTGACCTGACCATTGTTATAGAGATGATATTACCTCTGGACACTTTCAATTAGGTTTTTCCTCATTTGCTCCACTTGGATTGCAAACAGCCAAGGCTCCAGTGATTGTGTAGTTCTTGTAACCGCATCAAAAAAACGACGGGCTTTGCTAGCATTGTGAGACTTGGTTTGGATCTGGATGTATGCCTTCCAAAAAGACTGGTTGCTGGGATGTCTCCTCAAAACCTCTAACAGTACTTCACGAAGAGGACTCAAAGGATACACATTGATTTTCATGTGGAACCTGAGCAAGCTTACATGCATGAGGGAGAGGGCTTCAAGAGGCATGGTGAAATGTTGACCACTAAGCCTTTCTCCAGGATCCTTGTCTTTCAGCTTTTGAGAAACCTGACAGTATACTGACATTGCAGAGTCAATCCCAAGAGTTAAATACTGGAAAAGAGCGTAGCAGCCAACCAAACCAGTCAGATGGCTGGAATCACTAGCATGTTCTTGATCAGAAGTGAGGCTTTCAGTTAAACAATCTTGAAGTAGGTGCTCATATGTTTTCCGAGCTTTCAAAACATTCACTGATGATACTTGTCCATGATAAGGAACATAATGTCCCCTTTCAGTCAATTTGGTCAATATGTGAGTTGCGCGTGATTCTACAGCTCCTTCTAGATTTACTAGCAATTCCGTTTCCAGTTTAGCATAAAGAAGGCTAAGATGACAGAATTGGGGGTTTTGGATTCCACTAATTCCAGACATCCCCAAAGATGTATCAAAAACTTTTCTAGCATCTTCTATATTGCCAAGTAGCCACTCTAGGTAAGCATACAGTTGCCAAAGGGAAACATTATTTCTGTTGTCAGGTGCCTTAAGAAGATTTTTAGCTAATTTTTTGCTTTTCTTGCCTTGCAATTTTAGTTTCTTTTTCTTTCCCATTTTCAAATACTGAGTGACCTGCAAAGTCAACACAATCAAATGAAGAAACAGCTTAAAGAAAATGTAGTGTACTTTGTATACAATACAAAATTTTATTTATTTTTATACACTTCTAGCTAGATCCACCAATCAACAGCTATATATGTTTGCTATCTATATATACTTTTTGTATTTTTACAAATGTTCTGCACCAGGGGTCCCCAACCTGTGGGCCACAGCCCACTATCAGGCTGTGGCCTATTTGCAACTGGGCCATGTGAGTGGTGGACCAGCGTGCGTGCAGCCCCACTCACGTAAAAGCTTCTCTCTTGTGTGAGCGGAGCTGCGCATGCATGCTGGCCCATTGCTAGTCTGGCCCAGTTCCCCTCTCCTTCCCCCAACTGGGTTGCCAAGTTGCCTGCTCCCTCTGCTCCAAAAACAGAGTGGTGAGAGCAGAGACTGAACAGTACGAACACACCCTGCTCAGCTTCGCTGACTCACCGAGGCTGCCTGCACAGGACACCCTATCTGCTTTTGGGGCATCAGGCAACCTCGGTGAGTCTGAAGGAACACAATCATGCCCCCAAAGGCTTCTCTTCTCCATGCCAAAAACTTCTGCAAATGGATGAAAGGCTTTGAGGGAGCAATTTTGCACTGCTTCAGGCCTCTCCTGCTTTGCAAAAGGTTTTGGCGAGGAGAAGCTGGGACCGTGCCCCAAAGGCTTCTCTTCTCTCTTGCGTGAGTGGAGCTGTATGAGCGCTCAAACACACACACATGCACCCCTCTCCCCCCCCCCCCGTCAGGCTGCCAAGCCACAAAGGTTGGAGACAACTGTTCTACACAACCTCTGCATTCATCACTACTCTAAACCCACATCCAGAACATCCCATTCACAAACCACCGTAGCATGTGCTGAGATGTTGAATATTAAGTTATATTGGATATTCTTTTCTATCCAGAATTGTCAATTTTAAAAACAGATTTGTAGATATAATGTGTACATTTGGTCTGCTATCTGTATTAGACAAGAGAAAGTACATTACCTTAGCGATTTCATACTGAAGCCAAAAAATGCATAGGTTAGACCTGTCTTTGCCTGAAAATAAGGGCAGCATCATATGGAAAAGATTCTGAATAAATTGTTCTCCTTCCTTAGAGTGCGTCACATGCTTCTCTCCTTGGACCACTGAGTCCATATGACCAATATTACTGACTCCAAAAAGAGGCATATCCAAAGAAGTCAGAATTCCTTGGTTGTTATATCCGTTGTCAAATAAGTTATTTTCATCCATTGCTATATAGAAGGAAGAAAGCAAAAGTCTACAGCTGCATGGAACTCCTAAGAATTGCAAAAATGAGGAAAGGAGTTGAAACTGAAGTTCAGGGCTGGAAAGTCTTATCAATGATGGTCCAAGGTCATCAAATAAGACCTATGAAACATATAAAAGTGCCGTTATGTAAGGAATTAATTTTAAACAAAAACATTTAAATACGGGAACTGATACTCCACATTTTCCATGAAAGGCATGAGTTTTTGAAGATTTGCCCAGCCCACATCTTCCTAGAAGCAGTTGTAAGTAGTTATATAATGTCAGCTTCCATCTTTGACTCAGGTGTGTCCACTAGCACCATAAAAAAGCTTCTCTTAAAATAAACATTGGTCATATTGCATCATACCAACCTGCCTCTCTGGATCTTCACAATCTTCTGATGACTGTTTGTTGTTTTTTTCTGGACGCCAGGGCATCCAGTGCTTTGCTTCCCGGGAACGTTCAATATGAAGCCAGTTTTGCCACTTTGGTAGAGATCTATCCTTTATTTCTTCTTCATCCTCTTCATCTTCCTCATCTTCATCTATTTAAAATCACATTAATGAACTTTTCAAAATTGCAGCTGGATATGCAAATTCTAAAAAGTTTATTTCAAATTAAAAAAAAAACTTGTTGTAAGATGGCCAAGCCTTGCTCATAATAACTAAAGACTGAGAAGGATGAGGGTGCATGCAAGTTCAATCTTCAACATCCTTGAATTTCCCATAGAATGACCACCGTTTAAAGACAGGATGCCAAATGCACAATGAGAATGATAAGATTACCTAAATAAGAAGAATATTCTTAGAGAAGAAGAATATGTTTTGAATTACTTCACATCTTTAAAAAAGAATGGCAAGAAAAAGCAAAAATATTTATACAGTAAATTTTAAATAGATGGAAGTAATAATAATAATAATAATAATAATAATAATAATAATAATAATAATAATAATAATAATAATAATAATAATAATAATAAAGTTGGAAGGGACCTTGGAGGTCATCTAGTCCAACCCCCTGCTCAGGCAGGAAACCCTATACCATTTCGGACAAATGGCTGTCCAGTCTCTTCTTAAAAACCTCCAGTGTTGGAGCATTCANTTCTAACTGTCAGGAAGTTTCTCCTTAGTTCTAGGTTGCTTCTCTCTTTGGTTAGTTTCCACCCGTTGCTTCTTGTCCTGCCTTCAGGCGCCTTGGAAAACAGCTTGACTCCCTCTTCTTTGTGGCAGCCCCTGAGATATTGGAACACTGCTATCATGTCCCCCCTCGTCCTTCTCTTCATTAAACTAGACATACCCAATTCCAGCAGCCTTTCAGGGTCAAAAAAAGCCAGTTTGCTCTAGTGGTTAAGGCACCAGGGTAGAAACCAGGATACAATGAGTTCCAGTCCCGCCTGAGGCACAAAACCAGTCCTCTCTCTCAGCCCTAGGAAACAGGCAATGGCAAATCTCTTCTGAAATGTTGCCAAGAAAACTGCAGCAATTTGTCCAGGCAGTTGCCAGGAGTCTACACTGACTTAAGAACAACAACAAAATCAAGATTACAGTAAAACAAATGCTCACTGTTCATAATCAATGAGTATCTTGTCCTTTACCAAATAAATGCCAAGAAACAAAGAAACTTAATCCTCCAACTCCCTACATGTTCATATACCTGTCATTCACAAGCTGAATAAATGTTACTACTAAAAGTGTTAATTGTGCCAGAACCTTTATGTTCATTTTAATAATCTAAGGGCTTCTGCCTGTCCAAAGCAATTTATATAACCCAATCCTCACTAAAATCAGAAGGACACTGAAAAACAAAGAAATGCGGGCAACCTTTTTGTTTTTCAAACCATCCTTTGGGACTGAAAAACGTATTTCTTCTTAGGCTCCACAAGATGATTGCAAGCTATTTTTCAGCTTAGCCTAACTTAACTAATGCCTTCGGAAATATTGAAGTACAACTCCCATTTTTCTTCAATAAGCCAGACAGTATCTTTACTGGCTGATGTAAAATGGATTTATAATTCATTAAATCCAGAAAGCAAAGAACTGGAAAACAGTGTTCTAACTTGTGGACATAATGAATCATATCAGTGTGACGAAGGCAGTGCAGACATTTCACAAATTATCTATTTCTTTTGGGGAAACCAGAACCAACGGAGGAGTGTGACTTTATAACATGCCCTAGCAACTCTCAAATCTGAAATGCAAAATATTTACCAGGTGGATTGATGACCACCCAACCACCCTTCTCTTGTTGATGCATCCAGGCCTTCCAACCTTTAGCTCCTTTTTCTCCAATTCGAGGCTCTCCACTGTCCCAAAAAGGTTCAAAGAATTCCCTCTGGAATTGGGGATGAAAAATGAATAAATACACGAAATTATAACTGAATTACTTTAAGCAAGATTTCAAAATTCATTAATCACTTTAAAATGTTCTTATAATATCTCCCATTAAATATTCCATTAAATGGCTGGGATTTTTAATATAAATTTTTAGAATAAGTTATTTAAAAAGTTAGGGAAAATGTCTTCTAAAGATGATTAATGCTGCCACATATGTTCCTATTACTTTTTTTTTTTTTAAAGCTTGTTTTCTTTTTCAAAACTGCACGATCCATATATACAAACTATATAACCTTAAACAATTGATTAATTGCATTAAAATTGCTTAAATGCTAAATTAATATTTATTTGATTAATATCTACACATATTATTTTTCTTGCTAGCATTTTCCCCATAAGTGCAGAGTCTGCTTTTTTTTCTTTTCTTTTTTTGTTATCCAAGCCTAACTTGTCCAAAGTCACTCAACTGGCTATCATGCCTAAGGTCACACTAGAATTCACAGTCTCCTGATTTTTAGTCTGGTGTCTTAACCACTGAACCAAACTGGTTCTCAGCTATTTATAATTGTCTAAATATAAATAAAAGGACAGGTCACACAAACAATAGAATAATAAAGGAAGGAAATAAATGAACACATAACAAACAAACAAACAAATAAACAAATACCTTCTCTAACTTAGGGACGACTATTTATCTTGGACTCAAGAATTATTAGTCAGTTTGGTCAAGGTTGGAGTAATGGAAAGAGAATTCTATGGTCCAAGACCAGGTTACTTTAAAGACTAATGGCTTCTCTAGCAGTCTTTTCTGATTTAGGTGCCTTCCAGACTTGGGTCTTGAACATAAAGAATTTGCCAGCCAGCATGCATTTCATCTCAATTGTTGGCAGAAATGAAAATGATGAAAGCTCTTTATTTTGAAGTAAGTGTAATACTAGCCAATTTGTTTTTTTTACACAAAGCAGGTTTTAACCAGAGCTGAGTGAACAAAAGGGGGAGGGGAGGATAGAAAAGGACAATGCTAAAGTTCTAACAAAAAAAAGTAGATTTGTAAGACGATTCAAACATCAAATTTAATGTGCAAATGAAAATTCTAGTTATGAGGCTACTTAAAGTCATCCAGTACATCAGCTAAACCATAAAAAATGTTACATAACTAGAGCAATGAGCCATATACCTGTATTCCAAAATTACTCCTGCTTTTCATCCACTGTTCAGCCCTGAGAAAGGAACCAGAACTTGGTAGCACTCATATTCTGAATTAAAGCAATCAAATGTGTCTTTATGTCTGTACTGGGATTCCTGACAAATTTATAATAATATAGGTTTATAGAATTAAACCAACCATTGATCCTGGAAAGTTTTAAAAAACTAATAGCTTGCCATTTCTAAATGTAAAGGTAAATCATGGTGTGGCAAAAAAGCAGATGCTTCCGATCCTCATCCTTTGTGGATGGCAAATCCCAGCCTTGTTACATAACAGTAAACAACTGCTTAGTTGTTGAACAAGCCAAGCTAATGAGTTATGGCTAAGACAAGATAGAGACTTGGGACATTATTACTTATACTCTTCACATAAAAGAAACATTTCTGTTCCAAGACATAAACAGAAATTTGTATTAACTGTGTTATCCACACTGGTATTCTGGTTAGAAGCCACTTTAAGTCTTGAATCAATTCCTAATTGAAAAATGATTTTAGAATTGCTTAGCTTATATAACCTTCAATTTTTCAGTTTCTGAGTTACCATGACAATAAAGCATTGTAATCACTCCTTACCTCAAGAAATAAAAACCAATACAGAAACCAAAGGATTAATACAATTAAAGTGTTACATCTTTGTGATATTTCTTTTTTGGTCTTTATTTCATTGTTCTAGTTTGGTGATGAAAATATGCCAATCACTAATATATTTGAAACTCCGCCTCGTTGGCATTTAAACTATAAATAAAAAATAACCCTAAAATGCATAAAAGATAACTGCAAAATTGCATTCACTTATTTAGGCTATTTATTACTAAGCAAAGTCTCCATCCTACAAGATGGTGAGGTGCAGATTCTAATTCCTTCCCAGATCCATGAGCCATAGGGCACGACCCATTTGCAAAGTGCAAGTCCATTTGGTCTAGGCCAGTGGTGGCGAACCTATGGCACGGGTGCCAGAGGCAGCACTCAGAGCTCTCTCTGTGGGCACGTGCGCCGTCGCCCCAGTTCTAGGCCTTCAGCTGGGTTTTATAAAACCTTTTCGCTTTAGGCCTCTGCCGCCATGTGCAAAAAAAAAAAAGGTTCAATCAATCAGTCAATTCCAACTTCTCGTGGGAAAAAAAATCTTGCAAAGTTGGAATTAATTGATTGAACTTTTTAGTCCCACCCAGTCTGCTGTTACCACTGCAGCCATGCCCACCCAATGGGCCACGCCCACCCAATGGGCCACACCCACCCAATGGGCCATGCCCACCAGGCACCCGACGATGCATAAGTGGGTTTTGGGTTGCAGTTTGGGCACTCGGTCTCTAAAAGGTTCGCCATCACTGGTCTAGGCTTCTCAGGTTGCACAACTACTGAGCAAAGCAATTCATGATCGTACGGTCCATGGCACACAGTCTAAATTATTTCCAACATTAACATGTTTTCTAGTTCAAGGAGCAAATCGGGGCTAATTAAGGACATCCAGCAAGATCAGTAGTTTACTATATAAATCATGCATTCCTATGTATATGTTCATGGAACAAAGAAAACATAGAGCAAAGCAATAGCATGACCTCTTGGTATTAGAAATCATCTGCTGAGTTCATACATTTGTCAGGTTAATAGCTTGTTTTAAGTATGTTAGCTGGGGAGGGAGAAATTGGAAGGAATGAAGAGGCTAGTTTTTACCTGTCCTCTTGTTGGCAAGTCCTTGACATTATCTGGTTTAAAAAAGGTAAAGTCAAGCAGGGCTTGGAATAGGGACACAGCTTTTTCTGAGTGACCAGCCTGCCTAAGGAAATGGCACTGTTGAAGAAAAATGGCTTGGGAGAAAAAGAAACAACATTTTATGTAACAGCTGTTCAGATACAGATGACAATTTCCTTTTTTGTTATTTATTACCACATCTCTACTAGTTAAGTCCCAGAGTTTGAATTACAACCACATTAAAAAATGAAAACGCGTAACCACTAATATTTTTTTAAAAAGAAATCAAGGTTGCCAAACAGGATTAAGCATTGTTTTCTTTCGGTTCCGTCGAACTTAAATGCTTCAAGATTTTACAAAACTGCAAACAGAAGTAACTTTTTTGAGAATAGAAGTCAAATTCATGAATGCAACCAGGAATATTTTGGAATGCAAGTAGGTATATAGCCAACTGCACATTATGCATATTTTCTATTTTATTTTATTTTTAAATTAAAAATCTTGTCATTTGAAAACATAAAAAACTTTTATGTCTGATATATTAGAAATGGAGGAAAAAATGGTTGAATTAAAACTTAGGAACAGAAGAAGCTACCTCCTTCCATATCAGGCAATTTTTGTAACTCATTCAAAGTTATAGCAACTCATCATAGGTCCCAAAGATAAAAGTTGTTTCAGCCAGATGACACAATGAGTGGGATTGTGCTCGTGGCCATGTGCATACAAGCCAAATGTCAAGTCACGGAGTTACTGAGACAGCGAGTCTTGTCTTCTGACAATAAAGCCAAGTAGGATCAACTCAGTAGTGACTGCACCTAAACAACTTTCTGAAGCATCCAACTTCCACTGTGTTCCTTTCTGACAGGTAGTCACTATGACAGGCAATGAAAGAAATAACCACTAAGTGGCAGAAGCTTTCAGTTTAACTTTCTTCATCATCCCCTGTTGAAAGACACTCATTTAAAGTCTGATGTATTTTCTTAACAAGATTTTTTTAAAAAACTATATGGTTATAAATGACTGACAACGGCTCGATATTCTTAATCAATAAATGAGACTGTCAGGCGAGATCTACTCCTCATTAAAAAGGAGCCCTCATTAATTCTGGCACCCAATAGCATTTTTTCTAACACTTGCCCATCTGGGAATGTCTACCAACTTTAATACTGTGTTAAAATTAATTTACTCCAGGCCTGGCAAATACTGTTGAGATTGAACCCAATGTATTTCTCAAAAAGAAATAAAAGTTCACAGAAGAAAGGATTCAGTTGGGTACCTGAAAGTATTTTTAAATACTGCTGCTAACCTAACAACAAGCTCATCTTTCAACTATGTTCACTGATATCAAAAATAGCCAGCCCAGCTTCCCTGATCTGAGGCCTCCAGGAACTATTACACCATAATTCTTGTCAACTCCAGCTAGTGCAGCACTGGGAATACTGAGGGTGATTGGAACTCTAGTAGTCCAACACTCCAGTCCAAGGTCAACAAACTCCCAACAGAGGGACCCCTGGCTTCTAGTGGGTCCATTTTTTATACATATATGCACAACCTTTCCCAACATAGCATCTTCCATGCGTGAAGTATGAATTCCCACAACTATTAACCAGGTTGGCAAATAGCAATGCTGTGAAGAGATTATGAATCTTACAGCCCAACTGCCAAACTGGAAGGCTAGAACAAAAGAAGAGTCTGCAGGATTCAGGGGGACAACTCTTTCGGCTGAGCAGGCAGGCTTATTTAAGGATTTCTGCCAAGGGCAAGATCATTATTAGTGATCCCATAATACAGCAGAAACTGTCATGTATTAAAGTCTCTCTAAAGAGATTAGATTACTTGAGATCTGTGTTGAAAAAGCAATCGCAGGGGATTTTTAGATCAAAAGGACAATTTGGCTATGATTCAAAACATGTTTTTATTTATGTTTTTTTCACATTTTTCCCCACCACCCCTCATATTGGAAAATATGTTTTCGATTGAGTCATGAGTTTCATAAATAAAGTTTGTATCAGCTGTAGCATTGTCTACAAAAACAACTTGATTTATAAAGGATCACAAAACAAGAAAAAAAAGAAAAGAGGAAACTGGACCCCCAAAACAGCCAATGAGAATCAACCATGATCTATGCAAACCAAAAACTGAGATGAGATCTGATCATCATCATCATCACCACCACCATCATCATCACCATTATCATCCTGCCTCATAAGCAAGTCCCCAAAGACCAAAACATGTCATGACAGGAGAGGGGATTGGTCTTTTAAAAGGCCAAAGAATCTCAAATGCCCTCTTACCTAGCATGGCCTCCTCTGTGCCTGGCAGTTCGGGATGGGATAGCATACTGCCATCATGCACAGCTGATAATGTGCTCAGGCACTTTCCGTAACAGCCATGTGTTTTGGAGACAGTAAAGGTGCTGAACTGACTTTGGCAGAATAAGAGGTATTTCTGCCACAGGGCTGGGTTGTTTGGGTGCAAGAAAATCAACTTTTGCCATTCCTTCACCACAGCAGACGGCTCCCAGAATTCTATGCAAAGTTTTAGCCGTGCTAGTTTCAGGTCCACTTCATTTGGGTTGTTTTCTATTGCTCTTTCCAAAATGGCCAGCTTCTAGAGGTCATAATCGAACCTACTAAAGAAAGAGTAAAGGGCAAGAGGGAGTGACTACCGTATTGTTGATCCTACAGAGTACTCGAGTAGGAATTTTTATTTTCCTTGTTTTTTCTTATATTCCATATAAACTTCATTTTGACTTTACCTTAACTTGTAGGAAACCTTTTAGGGTGTCGGTTAGGTTGACGATCAAAACTTTTGGGCACTGGAGGAAGTGAAATCAACAGCCAAGGCAGATGCACAGGGCTGCTTAATCCCCTCCTTCCAATCTGTGCAGGCCAATTCAGTCTGGTTCTCTTGGTTACATTCCAAGCGGCCATTTGACTTTTAAAGAAATATACTTGAAGCTTATTAATTTTATATTTCTTCATACAGGGAGTCCTTGGGTTACAAGGACAATTGGGCGTGGGATTACTATCGCTAAGCGATGTGGTTCTTAAACGTGTCATGCTTAGCCACACACCACTTAGCGACAACAACCCTGGCAGTCCCAGTTGCTATCATAACCCCAAGACAAGTGGGTTGTTAAGTAGGAAGCGGTGGGCATCTCAGGTAAGGAGCAGGGGGGTGCTGCAGAGTGTGTTTCAGGGAGATGGGAGAGGCCCATTGCAGGAGTGAGCACAGGAAAGCCAGGGGACAGATAGCCTGGTCTGTGATGACATGAGGGCAGGAAGGCTGAGGGTGGACAGTATGGAAACTGTGAGTGCAGAATGGCTGGGAGGTCTTTACCAGAATGACTTGCAACCTTCCCTGCCGCTTCTCCGTTGACTCTATTAGTGGAAAGCTGGCAGGGAAGGTCACAAATGGTAATCACGTGACTGTGGCACATTGTAACCATCATAAGCGCAAGCATCTTAATCACACACATGTGACTAGGGGATGCTGTGATGGGTGGAACTTTGAGGGCCAGTCCTAAGTACCCCTGGTTCAGCACCATCACCACTTACCAACAACTCATTGCTGAGTGATTGGCACGTTAACAAACACCCATATCCTCTTTTTTTCCACAGAAGATAAAGAGTGGCAAAGCAATGCAGGAACTGGTAGAAAACTGCACTGACAGCATACTAAGCACCTGTCAATTTCTGAGACCTGGCCTTCTAAACATACAATGCAAATCCTCAACATTAGGGGGGAAATGGGCGTTTCATTAAAATACGTGGAGAATATTCCAAAATATTCCAATCTGCTCCTCTCAAATAATCACCTTTGGTCATCATTTTACATTGCAACTTTAAATGTTTAGCACATTCATGCCTACCTGAAAAGAAACCAAATCCATCCATGCTTTGACATCCCTGGGATTCTCTCTGACTCTGCAGTTATATTCTTCCACCTTTCCCATTAGGGGAGAGTCTGCATTCTGGGGGTTCTCTTGAGGGTCTTGCTTATTTGGTAAGCCATGTTCAGCGGGGGGCCCTTTTCCTTGTAGCCACAGTGTGGTCTGCAG